AGACATGAGCCACTGCACCCTGCCTTCCCTTGACTTTTTAAGCTTCCCCTCAAGCTTACTTCAAGTAACACTGAGGGGAAAGTAGCTGGTACTTTTATGTAGCTTGTAGTACTGAAATTCCTCTGGAGAAGTGATCATCTAGACTCCAGTAGAAGGATATAATTGTTGTATACTATTCAAAACAATTCAATTATAGAAGTGTCAAAGTAGACTTCAGTAAGCATAGACATCACAAAGCATAAGCTTCAGGCATAAAAGCTTAATAATGCCTCAAAAAACAATTATTTCAGTGCTGGGAGGGTGCTAAGAGACACATATTCACTGGACCATTCATTTATCCTTCAGCAGTTTAAAGAAGCAAGGAGGCCAGGCACGGTGGCTCACACCTGTAATCTCAGCACTTTTGGGAGGCCGAGGCGGGCGGATTGCCCAACTCAGGAGTTCAAGACCAGCCTGGGCATCATGATGAAACTCTGTCTCTACCAAAAATACAAAAAATTAGCCAGGCATGGTGGTGGGCACCCGTAGTCCCAGCTACTCGAGAGGTTGAGGTACGAGAATTGCTTGAACCCAGGAGTTGGAGGTTGCAGTGAGCCGAGATCGCACCATGGCGCTCCAGTGTGGGCAACAGAGCAAGACGTTGTTTGTTCTTTTTTGCACTGAACAACTGTTTAGTTCTTGTGTACAAGATATAGTACTAGGTGCCACTACCAAAATGAATGACCTTCTGCCTCAGGTGCCTTGATTTCTGGAGGGAAACTGTTGGTTATAGTAATAGTCTGTTGAGCTTAATGGAAGTAGGAACATATTGCTGTGAGAGGCACAGACAAGGGTTAACTGTCCCTGAAAACTTCACAGGAATGCTGATAGGTTTTAGAAAATGAATAGGAGTATGCAGTACAGAGTGAGTGAAGTACTTTCTAGGCCTTGTGGGTTTAAAGAACATGCATAAGTTTGGCGTAGCCAGGGTATAGGCCAAGAAAGGAGGTGAGGCTAGCAGTAAGTCAGAGACAGGCTGTGAAGCTTGTCATGGTGCTCATTTGCAAAATGTTGATTTGTAACCAGAGGGCAATATTGAGCTGATACAGTGTTTTACTAGTTATTTGAAAAAGTACTTCTCACTGTTTTTGTTTTATTTGATTTTTTGCGGGGGGGCTTTTCTGTGTTTATGTGTTTTACTAGATAATTTTAGAAGTTTATTTTTTCTTTGGAGACTGAGTTTTGCTTCATCGTCCGAGTTGGAGTACAGTAGTAGCACAATCATAGTTAATTGCATGCAGCCTCTACCTCCCAGGCTCAAATGATCCTCTCACCTCAGCCTCCCTAGTAGCTGGGACCACAGGCAAGCAAATGTCACCATGTAGTGCTAACTTTTTTATTTTTTTATGGAGATGAAGTCTGGCTATGTTGACTACACTGGTTCTCGAACTCCTGGGCTCAGGTGATCCTCCTGCCTCTGCTTCCCAAACTGCTGGAATTACAGGTATGAGCTACTGCACCTAGCCTCCTCTCGCTGTTTCACTGTTCATGAAAGAGTAAACTATCCTGTGTCATATGTCAAGTGCACTTTCATTAAAAATGGCAAATATTGGCTGGGCACAGTGGCTCACGCCTGTAATCCCAGCACTTTGGGAGGCTGAGGCGGGTGGATCATCTCAGCTCAGGAGTTTGAGACCAGCCTGGCCAACATGGTGAACCCTGTCTCTACTATAAATACAAAAATTAGTCAGGTGTGGTGGTGGGCACCTATAATCTCAGCTACTTGAGAGGCTGAGGCAGGAGAATGACTTGAACCCAGGAGGCCGAGGTTGTAGTGAGCTGAGATTGTGCCACTGCACTCCAGCCTGGGAAACAAGACCAAAACTCTGTCTCAAAATAAATAAAATAAAAATGGCAAATGTTTATTGTCTATTTGCTTGGGGTTGCTAGATATGAAGGTTAATAAATTGTGGGAAAACCATCGTTTCCAGTTGAAGAACACTAGTGGGAGCGAGGAGGTTTAATAATAAATATTTAAAAAGTATTAATATTGTCTTAGTTTGAGCTGTTATAACAAATTACCATAGATTGAGTGGCTTAAACAACAGAAATGTATTTTTCACAGTTCTAGAGGCTGGGGAGTTGATCAGGGTGCCAGCATGGTTCGATTAGGGTAAGGGCCCTCCTAGTTTGCAGATGGCTGTCATCTTACTGTGTTCTCACTTGGTGGAGAACAGAGAGAGAGGAAGGAAGTTCTTTCCTGTCTCCATCATATTGAGGGTTGGGATTCCAATATCTGAATTTGTTAGGGGGACACAAACACTTGGTCTGTAGTGAGGGTTGTATAATTTGCTATTTCATTTATAATTCTTTTCTTCTTATTTATTTCTTGTATATCTTTCAAGACCTTGACCTGCTTTGAGGCTGTTATTCTTTGTCTGACTCCTGCTTTGTATAGATAGCAAGTTATTATGTCTTATTTTCTGTGCTGGTCCCTAGAACACCTGACTGCAGCTAGTTGTCTTAGTCACTGATTGTTCCATTTATGTTTTGTTTTTCTAACTTTAGGACCTCATTAGCAGGGTTCTGACCTATTGTTCTTTGTACTTCAAAGTGTCTAGGTCAGTGCCAGGTAAGAATACTAAATGCTGAATAACAGCTATTGAGGCTGGGCATGGTGGCTCATGCCTGTAATCCCAGCAGTTTGGGAGGCTGAAGCAGGCGGATCATTTGAGGCTTGGAGTTTGAGACCAGCCTGGCCAACACAGCAAAATCCCATCTCTACTAAAAATACCAAAAAAATGTTGGCCAGGCGTGGTGGCTCATGCCTGTAGTTCTAGCTGCTCAGGATGCTGAGGGACAAGAATCTCGTGAGCCCAGGAGGTGGAGGCTGCAGTGAACTGAGATCACACCACTGAACTCCAGCCTGGGCAACAAAGTGAGACTCCATCTCAAAAACAAAAAACAAATAACAGCTATGGAAACATTGCCTATTCTTCTGAATTTCCATAAATAGACTTTTGAAGTAGGTTTTCAACTCTACATATATTGCCAAAAAAAATTTACAACAGTTTGAGATAATTTGCATGAATGTATGATTTGGATTATGTGTTTATAAGGTTTTTCATTTGATTTTTTAAAAGTATTTTTAAAAGTATTCAAATTCTACATTAATTTGTAAGTTCTCTGCAAATACTTGCTTCTGTGAGTTTAGTTCATGATGCAAATTTACAGTTGACAATGTTAATAGAATCTATATACTAAAATTGGCTCCTCCTGGCAAGATTCATCTCTTTAACATGAAATGTATGTTTTTATTTTACACTTTATGCATAAACTTACTAATGTTATGGTGTTGATTAAAGAAAAGCAACTGACCAGGCATAGTGGCTCTCCATGCTTGTAATCCTGGCACTTTGGGAGGCTGAGGTGGGCGGTTCATGAGGTCAGGAGATTGAGACCATCCTGGCTAATACAATGAAACCCCGTCTCTACTAAAAATACAAAAAATTAGCCGGGCATGGTGGCACGCGCTTGTAGCCTACTTACTCAGAAAACTGAGGCAGGAGAATCGCTTGAACCCAGGAGGTAGAGGTTGCAGTGAGCCAAGATCATGCCGCTGCACTCCAGCCTGGGCACAGAGGGAGACTGAAAAAGAAAAAAGAAAAACAATAACTACACATATGCATTGAACACCCATGAGTCTGAGCATTAGTGGTTGACCAGTAATGGTAAAGAGTGACTACATGCCACAGTTTTACTTGATTTCAAACAAATACAACTGGCCTTTGTTCTAAAAAGTGATGTTGCTCTGAGAGTTAACTGGGTCTCTGTCTCTGACTTTCTGACTTTAACTGTGTTGCTTCAATTATCACCTTGCATTAACACAAAAAGGACACCAAAAAGGGGGTGAAATAGTTGTTCCATTTCCCCTGCAAAACTCAGAGTGAGGCAGGGTCTTACTTGGTTGACCAGGCTAGAGTGCAGTGGTGTTATTTTGGCCCACTGCAGCCTCTGCCTCCCAGGCTCAAGTGATCCTCCCGCCTTAGCCTCCCAAGTAGGACTACAGGCATGCCACCATGCCCAGCATGTTCCATCTTTTAAAAGTGCTTCAAAATTGTTTGTCTTTTTTTTTTCTTTTCTTTCTTTTTTTTTTTTTTTTAAAACACAAAGCATTTAGTGGAGCCATCCATTTAAAATTAGGGCTAACTTTGAAGATCAGGAATCAAACAGCTTATCTTATTATAGCCTTTTTATTTTATATTACTGAGAAATTAAGATTTAGAGGAAAGGTCAGGTACTTTGCCCAAGGTTACAGAGCTTTTTAGTGGAGGACCTCAGACCTGGACTGCAGCTTCAGCATTTCATATTTTTTCCATGGTATCATATTATTTAGTTTTATTCAACTTTGACTTTCAAAATGTTATGAAATAAGAGATCAAATCAAATCTGACTTTAACTGCTATTTACTCTCTTTTCAGATTGAACAGTTGACTAATTAAAAATTCATCTCCATAACCTGTTTTCAGCTGGGGGTTTTATCAGTGCCACTTGGGAAGCTTTTAAAACTACAGATGCCTGGGCCCTGCAGAATCAGAAACGCTAGCTGTGAGACCCAGGTGTATGCACTTTTAAAAGCTCCACAGGTGATTCTGGTGCTGAGCCCTGACTGTGAACAATTTCTCCAGTCTTCTAGTGTTGTAAATAAGGAAGATTATTAGCCGGGCGCGGTGGCTTAAGCCTGTAATCCCAGCACTTTGGGAGGCTGAAGCGGGTGGATCACGAGGTCAAGAGATCGAGACCATCCTGGTCAACATGGTGAAACCCCGTCTCTACTAAAAATACAAAAAATTAGCTGGGCATGGTGGCGCATGCCTATAATCCCAGCGACTCAGGAGGGGCAGGAGAATTGCCTGAACCCGGGAGGCGGAGGTTGCGGTGAGCCGAGATCGTGCCATTGCACTCCAGCCTGGGTAACAAGAGCAAAAACTCCATCTCAAAAAAAAAAAAAAAAAAAAAAAAAAAGATTATTAGATCAGCTTGGCTTTTTTCAGGCAGTTTTGTACATGTAAATTTGAGTATCCCTAATTTGAAAATCTGGTATCTGAAATGCTCCAAAATCTGCAACTTTTTGAGCACCAACATGATGCTCAAAAGAGCATTTCACATTTCAGATTAGGAATACTCAACCAGTCAGTATAATGCAAATATTCTAAAATCCTTTAAAAAACTGAAATTGGAAACACTTCTGGTCCTAAGCATTTTGGATAAGGGATACTCAACCTATGTCTAATATCAGAGCTTGCGGGCAAGGAGTGGTAATTAGAATGAAAGGGGCAGGTAAAAAAATGGAGGGATTTTTCTGTTGTACATAAATAGGAATTTAGACTTGATGTGATAGACAAGAGGCGGTGTTCTAGATTCTTGAGTGGGATGGTGCTACACAGGTGACAAACTCATACCTCTGCCTTAAGGCAGGACTTCGTTTTATTGTATACTTAAAAGACCTTTAAGAAAAGCTCACGTTCTTCTTCCCGCACCCAGTGACTGAAGTCATAAATTTGAGAGTTACACTGTTTTCTTCCTTCTCTCCTGATGCTAATAAGTTACCAAGTCTTTCAGTTTTTGCTTTTAAATATTGGTTAAAACAGTTCCCCCTCTTTATCCGTACCACTACACTCTAGTAAGTTCTCATCATCATTTACCTGAAAAGTACAATAGGCTTCTAATTTATTTCCCCGTCTCATCTGCCTTCTATATTACTGTTAGAGTAATTGTTCAAAAAACAAATCTCTTGTACCATATTCCTTTACAGAATCCTTCAGTGGTTTCCCATTACTTAGGATAAAGTCTGGACTCTTTAGCATGTCATTCACAGCAATTTGCCACCTCATTGCCAGCACTCAGGAAATATATGTTATATAGCCTATACCTTAGCCATAATGAAGATAATATGTTCTTTCATAACTTTGCATATGTTACTCTCTTTTATGCTTATAATTCTTTTTTCAAATTGATCAGCCTTGCAAATTCACATGAATCTTTTAATACACATCAAATGTAACCTCTCTGTTTCCTGCCCATTCCCTTTTCCCTCCTCCAGTTAGCATTCCTTTTATTACTTTTCTGGTAATTGCCTGTATACAAGTCTGCTCACCCCATTAGACTGTGAGATCACTGAGGACAAGTACTGTATATTCATTCATCCTTGTATTTCCAGCATCTAGTACAGTGTCTGGCAAATTTACATTCAGCAAATTTTTAAAAAAACCGATCTAAATTAATTCCTTGACATAGTTAAAAATTTGGCTTTGGTAGCTGAAAGAATTGATAGTAATTCCTTTTTCACTTTTTATGAATATTTGCCTCTTCAAATTTTTTATGATTTTCAAATTGCTTGGGATTTTTATAAATGGTTAAACTGTTTTCTCTCATACAGCACAAGGCCTTACTTGTAATCATGAGAAGTGGAATATTACTATGATTCATGTCCTAGGCATAGAGAGTTGTAAATAAGAAGGTAGGAGGTGACAGGCTGTGTGTTCAGTGGAGCAGATATTTCTTTGCCTTCTGTTATATCAGAATTTAACTGACTCTTGCATGAATTAGCTATTATGTTTTTCTTTATATTAAATTCATACTTAAAATGAAAAAAAGATGATAGGTTCAAATTATGTTACATTTTTTGTTAATCTTTTTATCGTACCTCGAGGTTCCTTAGAACATGCTGTTCTAACATTCACAAGCAGTATGGTTTTGGGCAAATTATTCAGTTGTTCTGGGCTTTAGCTTCCTGATCTGTAAAACAGATGATGATAATACTAACTGCTAGGTTTGTTGTGAGAATTAAATGAGTTGATACATGTAAGGCAGTTAGAATAGTGCCTGGCATGTAGTGAGTATTCCAACAGCTGTTCAGCCCCAGCCCATGCCACTTCCTTCTCATTGGCCTTCATTTATTTCCTCAATTGTGTTAAGCCCTTTCCGGCTTCAAGGCCTTTGTGGATGCATCTCCTCTACTGGGATCACAATATTCATCTGACTGGCTCACGTCGACTTCAAGTCTCTCATTAGACTGAACGTTCCTGGAGAACACTGTGCCTGGCAGAGTAGTTGTGCAATAAATATTTATTGAATTAATGAAAAAATGAATAATCGAGCCAACTGGAAAAGAGAACAGGATCAAATGGAATGGAAAGTTGCTTCTTCAGGGGTTGGGGTCAGGGCAGATTCTCTTACTGCAGGCAGTAAGGAAAAGAAAAGGTGTGTGTATTATATATACTTATAAATTAAATGGTGAAATTATAAATATTTAATGGTGAAAGCATTCAAGTAGGAGTTGACAAATTAATTCTTTGCCTAAGTTATGATCAATTTGAGTTTAAAATGGTATTTTTAATTGCCCCCAGTTATTTTAATATGCTGTTGTTTGTGCTTTAAAATTAATATATTCCAACCACCCTTCAATAAAAGAAACTTTTTTTTGTATGACAGGGTCTGACCCTGTCGCCCAGCCTGGAGTGCAGTTTTATTATTTTTTCTGTTATTCTTTTTATCATGCCTCGAGGTTCCTTAGAACATGTTGTTCTAACACTAACAAGCAGTGTGGTTTTGGACAAATTATTCAATTGCTGGGCTTCAGCTTCCTGATCTGTAAAACAGATGATAATGGTACTAACTCCAGGTTTGTTGTGAGAATTAAATGAGTTAATACATGTAAGGCACTTAGAATAGTGCCTGGCAAGTAGTGAGTATTCCTACATGTAGCCTGTAGTGATCTCAGCTCACAGCAACCTCTGCCTCCCAGGCTCATACAATCCTTCCACCTACACCTTTTAACTAAAAAGGAAACTCTGGAACAACTAAGGACTTCAATGCTGGATGTGGTTTTAGAAGTTAAAAATTTGATAGTAGGAGCCAGGCATGGTGGTACCTGTCTCTAATCCCACCTGCTTGAGAGGTGAGGTTGGAGAATCACTTGAGCCCAGGAGTTCAAGGCCAGCCTGGGCAACGTAGTAAGACTCCACTTCTTTTAAAAGCAATTGATAGTGAACTGTAAGTCAGGGTACAAAATTGTAAATAAAATATAATCATAGCAGGGTTTTTAAAAAATGGATTTAAGATATACACCAAGTGTTACCAGTGTTGATGGGCCGTCTTTGGGTAACAGAATTATAGATGATTGTTTTTTCTTCTACTTTTTAGTGATTGCCATCTCTTCTATGAAGGTGTATTTAAAATTGCAACCTGCTGATATCGTATCAGAATTCAATTCTGGGTTATTATCCCATTAGTATTAACCTCCTATTTTTAATATGACACTGAACTTTTGCCAGAAGACCCTGAAGTTAAAGAAAAGTGTTAAGGAAACTGTTACCCAAAAAAACCATTTTAAGTCACATATATATAAACATTTTATTTCAAAATTGTTATTTTTAAGTATAACATCTTGGAAACATACTCCTTATTTGCAAATAGTATGGAGTCGGTGACAAAGATATAAAGACCTCTTGTTTCTGTATATTTTATCTAATTATATAAATATCACTATATGATTTTGTGAGTGGGAATAATATGGTGAAACATTTGGACAGTTGTGTGTCTATTTATATTTAAAGTTTTAGTTTACTGCTTCATAGTGGTGGTAGAGTACATGTCATGTACACTTTGAAGCCATTGTCCAGGTTTGTGGAAACCCTTACTCCCAATACTCCTCCCCAAACCCTTGGCATAGGTACATAGGTTTTAGAGATAGGGAGATGTTGGTTTGAAACCCACTCCTCTTTGAAGGTGTATTATTAACAACAACATTTATGTAATGTTTACTGTGAGCCAGGTCCTCTAAGTATGTGGATATTCCTTACCACTTTAAATCTTCAGAACAGCCCTGTGAAGTCAGTTCTTACAGGGATGCAAGTTCAGGGAACTCACCTATTACAGTAGTAAATGATGAAAGTTGGGATTTAAACTGAGGCCTGGGAAATACCAAAGTCCATGGTAAATATCATCTTATACTAACTTCCTGGATGACCTTGAGCAAAACTTAGCTGTCTCGGCCATGCATCTGTAATTTTGAAACCCAAGAAGCTTTAGAAATTGTTAGTCTTTCCATAACTTATTTGGTGGCAAACGTGACCTGTATAGATGAGAGGCTATTTATATTTTTTGTTCATTCCATTTAATGTATTCATATACGTTGCATTAAAAATTATGTGTTGGGGCAGGGCGTGGTGGCTCAAGCCTGTAATCCCAGCACTTAGGGAGGCCGAGGCGGGTGGATCACGAGGTCAAGAGATCGAGACCATCCTGGTCAACATGGTGAAACCCCGTCTCTATTAAAAATACAAAAAATTAGCTGGGCATGGTGGTGCGTGCCTGTAATCCCAGCTACTCAGGAAGCTGAGGCAGGAGAATTGCCTGAACCCAGGAGGCGGAGGTTGCGGTGAGCCGAGATCGCGCCATTGCACTCCAGCCTGGGTAACATGAGTGAAACTCCGTCTCAAAAAAAAAAAAAAAAAAATTATGTGTTGGATTAGGTGGTGCTGCTATAGGCCCCCCTCTTAAAGGTGCTAAAAAATATATGATATATGCACCACATTCACTTTCTAAAATACAGAAAGTTCTGAAATCTGAAATTCCCCAATAGATTGTAGTCCTCTGTTTTGCTTCCATAGTACTCAGTTTTCTTATCTATGTAATTCTTAAAATCTATCCCAGTGAATCTTAACAAGAATTATATGTAATAGTATACGTAAGCATTTGAAGGATTCAAAGGAGAATTTCTTCTCCTAAGCCTCTTCCTTTTGCCTTGGTGATCTGAGCAGGGTTTGCCAATCGGTGTCATCCCCAGTGGCCTGTTTGTGATTCCTGGGGCTCCTCTGTACCCCTTGAGGAACACATCTCCAGTGCTTTCTTTTCACAGGCACTTGTAGTGGGGATGGGGGTGGGAGGGTGGCACAGGTGGAAACCTTACCTGCTTCTTGGTGCCCACTCAGCTCTGCAGAGCTTTGGAACTGTTTACTCAAGCTGGGATCTCTTTGAAGGGAATTTTCCAGTGGTAAAATATTATTTCTGACAGTCTCACAAATATACTTATCTTTTAATATTTTGCCACCTCTAAAAGTTGTTACTCAGAATAGTAGATGATTCCATAGCAGCCTGTAGCTCAGAATATTGTTATGTGTTAATTTGGAAAAAATGTGACTGGTATTCAGCACTTCTTTGAACCAGTGTATATTACTTATTAGCTGTGTTGCTTGATTTTTCACAGACTGTTACATGTCCATTTAAATCGTGAATCTGAATTGTGCTGTGTTACTATAAAGCCTACCAGTATTCCCTAGAATAGCATGGTAATAATTTTTGTAAGAAGTAGTAGTAACAAAACATTGTTCACATTATGGGAAGAGAAAGATAGTAACAAAATAAAATTCCAGGATAGGCTGGGTGTGGTGTCTCATGCCTGTAATCCCTCCACTTTGGGAAGCCAAGGCAGGCAGATCATTTGAGACCAGCCTGGAAAACATGGTGGTGAAACCCCATCTCTACTAAAAATACAAAAATTAGCTGGTCGTGGTGGCAGGTACCTGTAATTCCAGCTACTGAGGAGGCTAAGGCAGGAGAATCCTTTGAATCTGGCAGGTAGAGCTGTGAGCAGCTTGCAGTGAGCTGAGATTGTGCCACTGTACTCCAGCCTGGGCAACAGAGTAAGACTCTGTCTCAAAAAAAAGAAAAAAAAATTCCAGGATATATGAAGTTATTATGACTAAAAACCATGTATTACGTACATCATATTTTTAATTTTGTTATAATAATTAATCTTCCTTGTCATCCCACAAGCATATTACAGAGATAAATACAGTCTCCTCTCAGCTCTCAATATTTTTAATAACGAGCTCCTTGGTACTAAAGAAGTTGAAGATTACAACTCAGAAATGCAAAATGTTGGGCCAGGCACAGCCACTCACCCCTGTAACCCAGCGCTTTGAGAGGCAGCGGCAGAATAAGCACTTGAGCTCAGGAGTTTGAGACCAGGCTGGGCAACATGGCAAAACCCCATCTCTACAGAAAACACAAAAATTAGCCGGGCATGGTGGTGGGCACCTGTAGTCCCAGCTACTCAGGAGCCTCAGGTAGGAGGATTACCTGAGACTGTGAGGTTGAGGCTGCTGTGAGCTGTGATTGCGCCACTGCACTCCAGCCTGGGTGACAGAGTAAGACCCATCTCAAGAAAAAAAAAAAAAAGAAGAAGAAGAAGAAGAAAAGGGAAATGTTGATGTATTCGGGCTTAGAGAATAGCTGCAAAAAATGATTTTCTATATCTGCTGGAGAACAGCGTGTCTTTGTAAGTAAAGTTTGCAAGGCAGGCAGATTGTGATTTTGTGGATAGAGTTAGCGAGTGGTAGCAGAGCTGGAGAGACCAGTGTTCCCGTGACTGAGTGCAGTCGGCTAACAGTGCTGGGTTCAGGGGCCAAAGTCTGCAGACAAGGCGTTGGCCCTCTCCACATTTCGCAAACTTCACTTCTCTTAAAAAGGAAAAAAACAAAGAAACTTGATGTTTCTCAGAGTTCAGAACTCATTTTTTTGTTTTGTTTTGTCTCAGAAAACTGAAGAATGGGAAAAAAGTAAGACTGAAGCAGACATGGAAGAGTATATATGGGAAAATAGCTCATCAGAAAGAAATATTCTGGAAACACTTCTCCAGATTAACGCTGCTGAGAAAAATACGGAAGTAAATAAAGAAGAGCTCCTCGGTACTAAGGAAGTTGAAGAGTACAAAAAGTCTGTTGTTTGTCTTAAAAATGAAGGGGAAAATGAAAATTCTGTTTCTCAGTACAAAGAATCTGTGAAGAGACTATTACATTTGATATGAATTATGGAGTACAAAAATCTGCTTGATTTATTAATTTTATGATCTATGTAGTCAGTATCTAATTTGATATAAAATTGAAAATGTTTTAAAAAATTACTGTTTTTCATCAGAGTTAAAATTATTTCCCTTATACTAATGCTCAATGGCAATGATTACTCCAGAGTTTTCTTACTTTTACACTGGGGCAATAGACTAGGAGATCTCTGATTTCTTCTTGGTCTAAAGTGTTTTGATTTCATTTCTATGTAACAGCTTTGGTATTCGTGTATATACATGCATTTAATTGTTATTTTGTCACTTTCCCCATGTCTCTCCCCACAAGCTGGCATTCAGTAGTTGCTTTTGAGTAATGGTTTTGGTTATCTGGGAAGGTAGGCCCAGAACCCAATTTCTTTACTTGCAGTTCCAGGCTCTGTTCACATGACTGCTATCTAGCTGATGCATTTGTCACAGTTGTCAATTCTGGTTAGAAACAGGTCCTCAGGCTGGGCGCGGTGGCTCAAGCCTGTAATCCCAGCACTTTGGGAGGCCGAGGCGGGTGGATCACGAGGTCAAGAGATCGAGACCATCCTGGTCAACATGGTGAAACCCCGTCTCTACTAAAACTACAAAAAATTAGCTGGGCATGGTGGCGCGTGCCTGTAGTCCCAGCTACTCAGGAGGCTGAGGCAGGAGAATTGCCTGAACCCAGGAGGCGGAGGTTGCGGTGAGCCGAGATCGCGCCATTGCACTCCAGCCTGGGTAACAAGAGCAAAACTCCCTCTCCCAAAAAAAAAAAAAAAAAAAAAGAAACAGGTCCTCAGGAGTATTTTCTAAAAAGACATGTTGACTCAACTTTGTTTAGCATCCTACTTTCTGTATTGTGGGGCTCATTTTGCCAGGCCCAAGCTACCAGAAAAATAGAAGTGGAGATTACCTGGTATGTATCCGGCTGGGTGCCCCACTTAGAGCTGCCAAAGCTCAGGAAAAAGATGAGGCATAAGGACCTTGAATTTAATTGGAGTAAGTGACAAAATAAGAACTACCCTGGGAAACATTCCATTCAATTTAGCTGTCAATTCAGTATTTTTAAGTACATCTGTAAGCTGTTTCTTACCACTTCTGTGGTTGTATCTAATTTAAGTGATTAAATTCAAAATAAGTGATTAATTTAAAATTAAAATAAAGGAATTACTGAGTTTATTTGCCTAATAGACTTGTTTTGCCTGACAGAATTAGAGAGTATAAATGAAAGCCAAAATGAATTTTACAGCAATTTCCTAAACCATTCGTATGAATTGAAGGTATGATTTGGTGTGAGTGACACAAGGAGTCTGCAGGTTATGAAGGACAATATGGTCGAGTACAAAAGGGGGAGAAAGAGGCATGTCATGCCCCACTGGATGGAAACAGTGGATGAAAAGCAGTATAGATAAAACCCAAATTTTAGATCATATCTAGAGCATACTTCAAGAAACATATCAGTACATTTAGAGACTCATATGGAGTTAAGAAAAACTCAGATTCCTAACAGTATTGAAGAAGGAAACATTTTGAAGAGTTGAAGCTGAGAAGAGATGATCATTTGGGAACATGTAAAGGAGTGGTAGCTTAGGGTGGTTCATCCTATGTAATAACACAGTGCAGATGAAAGCAGAGGAGGATGTGCAATAAAGAATTTGACCTTACCTAGAGATCTGGTCTTTGCCCTGGTCTTCTGGGATGTAATCTGTATCATACCTGATAGGACTGTCTTTGTTTAGCTGGGTAGCTGGCCCCAAAAGATCTCAGGAAGGCATGACCAACATGCCAGAAAAACCTACCGTGTGATTTAGGGTGGGGGCTTTGAGTCACATGGCAGCTGTCCACTTGGCAGCTGAGATTGACTTACCAGACAATCAGCAATCATACCTACATAGTGGAGTCCAGTAAAATCTTTGAACACGGAGGCTTGAGTAAGCTTCTTGGGTTGGCAATATTCCATGTATATTGTCACACACTGACACTAGGAGAGTAATGTGTCCTGACTCTGGGGTGGCGGGGGAGGCATCAGAAGCTAAACATTTAAACCCTTCCTGGGCCTCAACTTAGGTGCTTCTTCCATTGGGTGACTTGAATGTATCCTTTCGCTGTAATAAACTGTGATTGTGAGAATAATAGCTTTCATTCAGTTCTGAGTTCTAGTGAATTATTGAACCTGAGGGTGGTTTAGGGAATCCCCCCCAAACTTACAGCTGGTGTCAGAAGTAGGATGGCCTTGTAGAGGACTCTACCCTCTTTTGCAGTTTGGACAACTCCAAGTAACCTGAAGACTCTTAAGTCACAATCGTTGATGCCTAAGGGCCAAACCATAGGACTGACGGATTAATACAAAACTGCCTCAAAAATAGAACAGTTGGACTGGGTGCAGTTGCTCATGCCTGTAATCACAGCACTTTAGGAGGCTGAGGTAGGAGGATGGCTTGAGGCCAGAAGTTTGAGGCCAGCCTAGGCAACATAGCAAGATCCTATCTCTACTTTAAAAATGTATGTGTAATTTCTGTAAATAAAATTTTAGGATAATTTAAATCTTGCCCCCCTCCCCCACCATCACTCCCTGCTTCAAATAGCATGGAGTTTTTTCACCCTAATGTATTAGAGGAGAAATTGATAAAATTTATGACACCTAATTTTATGAATTACTACAAGTTAAGGTAAATTGAATTTTTTTTTTTTTTTTTTTGAAGACAGAGTCTTACTCTGTTGCCCAGGCTGGAGTGCAGTGGCATGATCATGGCTCACTGCAACCTCTGCCTCCTGGACAGTCTCAACCTCCCAGGCTCAAGCAATCCTCCCACTGCAGCATTCCAAGTAGCTGGAAATACAAGTGTGTGCCACAATGTCTGGCTAATTTTTTAACTGATTATGTATTTATTTATTTGAGACAAGGCCTTACTCTGTTGCCCAGGCTGGAGTGAAGAGGCACATTAATGGCTCACTGCAGCCGCAACCTCCAGTGCTCAAAGTGATCCTCCCACTTCAGCCTCCCAAGTAGCTGGAACTACAGGCACACACCATCACACCCAGCTAATTTTTGTATTTTTTGTGGAGATGGGGTCTTGCCATGCTGCCCAGGCTGGTCTCAAGATCCTGGGCTCAAGTGATCCGCCTGCCTCAGCCTCCCATAGTGCTTGGATTATAGGTATGAGCCACTGTGCCCCTACTTCTGATTAAATTTAAAAAATCAGACTTCTATTTGCAGTTAGTATTCAACCACAAGAGATTTTAATTTTATATTTTTCTTTTATGTTAAAAGAAATAGTCATTCTCTTTTTCCACCCAGTATTACTACCAGGGAAAGAGAAAAATATATCTTAAGCCACTGGACTTAGAAAAATTTGGGTTTTTTTCTTTTGAAATTAAATGTTTTATTTTTATGTATTTAAGGGTACAAGTGCAGTTGTGTAACATGGATATATTGTGTAGTGGTGAAATCTGACATTTAGTGTACCCACGGACAATTTAACATGTGAGGAAACAGTACTATTTTATAAATATTATAAATAGGATTTCCCCTTGTTTGTTCTTTTTTTTTTTCAACAGAGTGTCACTCTGTTTCCCAGGCTGGAGTGCAGTGTCGCAATCTTGGCTCATTGCAACCTCTGCCTCCTAGGTTCAAGTGGTTCTCTGACCTCAGCCTCTTGAGTAGCTGGGATTACAGGCATGTGCCATGACACATGGCTAATTTTTGTATTTTTAGTAGAGACAGGGTTTTGCCATGTTGGTCAGGCTGATCTTGAACTCCTGACCTCAGGTGATCCTCCCCCCTCGGCTTCCCAAAGTGCTGGGATTACAGGTGTGAGCCACCACACCCGGTCCATTATTTATTCTTTATGCTTATTAGCTGTCTTTTAATATCTGTTCTCACATTAAAAACAGGTTCCAGGAATGAGATGGTTTAAAAAGCTTAAGTTTATTAGAGACTTGAACTACAGCATTCCACACTTAAGAGTCTTCTAAGATTTAGGGGACAGATCTGGTGTAAGATTTGGACAGAACTGAAACACTCAGAGCTAATCTTTACACCTGGGAAAACAGAATGTATACAAGTGAGGGATGTAACTAAAACTAAAACTCCTAAGCTTTATTCAACAGAAATTAATACAAAAATCTCAAAGAGCTCAGTAGCACAATTATTGAAAGGAAGATGAAGATGGGTTGAGATTGAGAAGGATTAATCAATTGAATGCAGAAAGCTAGATTAAGATCAGGAAGCATTTGTTTATGGGTTAGTAACTGTTAATAACTGTGTTCTTTTGCTCACATTACTACATGATTGTATTATTGTATGTGACAACAATTTAACCCTGACTGGGTGGCAAATATGATGATATTGTGGTGTTTTCTTCCTGATATTATTTTTTCATGCTTTTTAGGAAAACAGAGGCTCTTAGTCTAACAGTGATTTTTGAGCATGGACTTGAACCAGACTGCCTGTGTTTAATTAAGTCCTGACTTCACTACTTAATACTTGGGTGTCTTTAGGGAAGATGCTTAACCTGTTTTCACCTCAGCTGCCTCATCTGTAAAATGTGTGAGAACAATAGTATCATGGTTAATAGCAGTATACCCATCTTTCGGGGTTGGAAGGATTCAGTGTGGTAATCCCCCTAAAGCACTGGAACAGTGTCTCTTACTCAGTACTAAGTAACAACTGTAAGGATCAGAATTTTGCAACTCTGGCAGAGGGAACACTACTCAAAAAATAGAAATAACACCCAAAAAAAGCAGTATGTTTATCAAGCATTAGCCTTTTTTTTTTTTTTTTTTTTTTTGTTAACAGATTGGTAGGAGTGAGCATCCTAATTTTTATTTCGAGACAGGATCTGGCTCTGTTTCCCAGGCTGAAGTGCAGTGGTGCAATCATGGCTCACTGCAACTTTGACCTCCCAGCCTCAAGCAGTCCTCCCACCTCAGCCTCCTGAGTAGCTGGGACCACAGGTGCATCATGCTGCCCCATGTGCTAATTTTTTTTTATTTTTTATTTTATAAAGACAGGGTCTCTCCAAGATGCTCAGGATGGTCTCGAACTCCTGGGCTCAAGCAGTTCTCCTGCCTTGGCCTCCCAAAGGGTTGGGATTACAGGTATGAACCACCACACCCAGCCTAATTTTTTTTTTTTAACTAAACTGCCCTTTCTTACACAAAACTAAAAATGATATCCTTGAAAGCATAAACTCTTGCTACACCTTTTACTATGAAGAGTTGTTCATATGGTTACAGTTTTTAATTTGCTAGGATTCTGATTTTCTGTGTCCTAGTTTATACTGGCCCTGCTGCTTTCTACAGCATCCAGATGCCAGGATGACTATACAACAGCTCAGAAAGATGATAGAGGTGCAAAGGGCCACAGAAGCCAGCCAGGTCCTTGAAGTAGCAGATACCTCATCTTCATTTGCAGATGTGTGGTTTCTGCTATTGTATCCTTTGGTTTTGTTCAGTAATTGTTTGCTGCTATTGAGTCGGGATAGAACAGGCATATGATAAAGTTTTGTGTCTATGGGTACAAAGAAAGGAGAAATCGTCTTATTATCTGGATTGCTGCTTACATCAGAACTTGGTGACACCATATTTACCTTTATAATGGAGTCATTCAGGGAAGTGAATCTTGCCCAAAAATCTGTGGTTAATTCTTTGGAATAGCCGGTACTGTTTGTGTTTACAACCAAATCTTGATGTGTGGTTGAGGGTGGAGCCTCTGTGGATGGCAGCATATGGTTTATCACAGTGGTTTGTGGTTTATCTAAATTTACAGTTTTTAGAATCCTTAGTCTGTCCCATCTACTGGATGAAGAATGAGTATTTAGATACATGGTAGATTGATCAAAAACCAGCAAGTCCGGATCTATACCTGAAAAATAAATAAGGCATCATTCATTTTATTTTTACTTTCAAAGTGAAAACCTTAAAGCACAGTTTGGAGAAGGGCTGGCTTTTGCCACTGTGAGTTATTGAATGAAGCTAAATTCACATTCTAATACTGCATACTTCTGAAAGCCTTCCAAACGTACTGGCTACATTTGAATTTATCTTAACTTTCTAAAACACTTTTTTTTTTTTTTTAATGAACAAATTAGATTACACTCAAGGAGAAGGCTTTATGTCTGTTAGGGTTTTTGTACAGTGGTGAATGTTACTTTGACAGCTGTAGAAACAATAACCATTTGAGATACAATATAGCATTTATTATTTATTTATTTATTTTTTGAGACAGGGTCTTGCCCTATCACCAAGGCTGGAGTGCAGTGGTGTGGTCTTTGCTCACTGCAACCTCTGCTTCCTGGGTTCAAGCAATCCTCTCACCTCAATCTCCTGAGTAGCTGGGATTACAGGCATGAGCCACCATGCCCCACTAATTTTTGTATTTTTTGTAGAGATAGGTTTTCACCACGTTGCCCAGGCTGGTCTCGAACTTGTGAACTCAAGCGATCTGCCCTCCTTGGCCTCCCAGAGTGCTGGGATTATAGGCAGGAGCCACTGCACCCGGCAATATAGCATCTTTAAATCAAGTTAAACAAAATAGAACCTGAGAAGAGTGACTATAAGCAAAATCATTAGCGAAGCCTTAAGTCTCATCCCTTTTTGACCTCTGAGGGTCTTGCTTTGTCTTTAGTATTTCCCCCTTGCATACTAGCTCCTTTCCCTCTGACTTCAGACATGAACAAATACTGCTTTGTCTTTAAAGGAGAAGAGAAAAAACTCTCAACAGCTTTCTAGTGGTCCCTGCTAGTGATCTCTCTCTCTCTCTCTCTCTGCAAACATGTCAACATCCACTGCTTCTGAGGTGCTCAGTTGTTTTCTTACTTCCTGATCACTCACATCTCCGTGCTTTGGCTTCTCTCTTGTCCTTGATACTGCCAGCCACCTTCTTAAATTCTTCTCCTATGATTCCCTGGACCCTGGACCCCCTTGACATTTTTCCCCAGACTTCCTGCCTCTCACTTTTGCTTTCTTTTGCTGGTTCTCTTGTATAGCCTCCCTGGTTGTGTGGTTTCCACAATCTTCAGTCCTTGCTCTTCAGCTGTATTTTCTCTTCACTGCCCCCTCCCCTCCAACACACACAATTGAGATTGTGCTCAACTGGCACCACTACATTAATGGCATTGAAACTCCTATCATTATGTTTTCCCTTCTTTCTTGAGCTCTGATCTCATTTATCCAGTGTTCTACTGGAGGTTTCCATGTAGACCTCTTACATCATCCCTTAATATGCCCAAAGCCAAAATCATTACCTCTACCTCCTTGTCTCCTTCATTGGCATCATCCTTCTTCCATCACCCACACTGAAATCTGCACTGTAAGATGATTTATTTTTAAGAGACACCTGTCACTCAGGCTGGAGTGTGATAGTGCCATCATACCTAACCGTAACTGTGAACTCCTGCGCTCAAGTGATCCTCCCACCTCAGCCTCCTGAGTACCTGGGATCAACCACAGGCACACCACCACCTCACCTGCCTAGTTTTTTTTTTTTTGTAGAGATGGGGGTCTCTCTCTGTTGCTCAGGTTGGTCTCAAACTCCTGGGTTCAAGCAGTCCTCCTGCCTCAGCCTCCCAAAGTACTAGAATTAGAGTCATGAGCCACTGCACTCAGATCTGCAAAGTGATTTTGACTCCACTTACTTCTTCATTTCCTTTATTTAAAAGGTGACTAAGTCCTTATTCAATCTTCCCAAGGTAATTATCCCTTCTCTTCATTTCAGCTACAGTCACTTTGGCAGACTCTAATGCTTTCCTGACCAGATTTTCTTATCAATACCTTCATATAATTGTCCTGGATTAGGACAAATAGCTATTACTTCACATGCTTTTTCATTAAATGCCCTTGTTCTCTGTTTCTGACGAAGTCAAACCAAAACTCTACTCTGTCCATGGCCCTTATGATACCTGTCTCTACCTTATCTTAGCCATATTCTCATTGCAACTTCATGTCTCCTTATTGTGGCCGGACCTATTTGCTTACTTCCCTGTGGCATAATATAGAACTCATTAGCTGCTGCTTCTGCCTGGCTTCTCCCATGAACCTCCTCTGAATACACAGGCTGTCACCAGCGTCCCCTTCTTTGAAACTTTGCACTGAGGCAGCTTCACGCGTTTTTGTATTTAGTTGTGTCTTAACACTAATTGTAAGACTTGTCACATCAACTAGATTCTAGAGGGACTTGAGGGCAGAGATATGGCTGCAATCTTCCAAAGTGTTGATTCTAGCCTGGAGCATCAGGTGTTCAATACATACAGCTTGATGAAGAAATGTATCTCCTTTGCTTTTGGATGGCAAAAATCTCTTATTTTATGGTCACTAATTTACCCCCTGAGATTACATACATGGGCACAAAACTTATTTTTTTTTTTTTTTTTTTGAGACGGAGTTTTCGCTCTTGTTACCCAGGCTGGAGTGCAATGGCGCGATCTCGGCTCACCGCAACCTCCGTCTCCTGGGTTCAGGCAATTCTCCTGCCTCAGCCTCCTGGGTAGCTGGGATTACAGGCACGCGCCACCATGCCCAGCCAATTTTTTTTGTATTTTTAGTAGAGACGGGGTTTCACCATATTGACCAGGATGGTCTCGATCTCTTGACCTCGTGATCCACCCGCCTCGGCCTCCCAAAGTGCTGGGATTACAGGCTTGAGCCACCGCGCCCGGCCAACTTATATTTTTAAAATAAATTACACTGGTTATCTTGAGGACCAATGATGTGCTAATGTATGTCAGCACACGGTGGTAAGTTTCCCTGAGCCTGACATCCCTCTTTACAGAATCCTGTATGCAGTGTCCATGGCCCTCACAACTGCCATTAGCATCATATTTATCTCCTAATGGCACTTTCAGCCACTGCAGGAGAAATGCTTCCTTTTGCTTTGCTGAGAGTTCTTGAGATTCATTTAATATACAGTCAGTAAGCCCTTGTTTGATCACATATGATTTATAATCTGGAGTGAACTCTTTGCTGAACACATCAAACTAAGGAAAGTTTTCTTTCAGTTTTCTGTCCTAGTTATCCAACATTTTTCCAAAGTTCACTGGAAAATGTGATTTTAGGGACTCAAATACGGCTATTGCTACCCAGTTTCTCAGCTATATGCCTCTACTAGAGTATTGCCAGCATTCTTCAAAAGTCTTGAGCTATGTAATCATTACCATCTGTTATGTTGTACAAAATGGCACTGGTTCCAGGCTGTAATATGCAGCTCTTCAGTGTTGGGCAGTGAATATGGAGGCAGTTGATATTGTCATGAATAGGATCGTGGTAGAAGACAGCCAGGTTACAGGAAACTGAAAGGGAAACAGCCGAAATACATCTGCAGATGGTCTTGATTTCCACCAGTTTCATAAACTCTGAGTAACTTATATTTGTTTCAGGAATACTGGATTAACAGTATTTTTCAGGGCAATGTGCACATTTTACAGAACGTTTATAAGCTACTGTAACTGCTTCTGTGAATATGGAAAAAAATTTTTTTTTTTTTTCTGGAGATAGGTTCTCGCTCTGTCCCTCAGGCTGGAGCGCAGTGGTATGATAACAGCTCACTGCAGCCTAGACCTCCCGATCCAAGCAATCCTTCCAACTCAGTCTCCCAAGTAGCTGGGACTAGAGGCACACATCACCATGCCGGCTAATTTTTGTGTTTTTTTGTAGAGGCAGGGTTTCATCATGTTGCCCAGGCTGGTCTCAGACTCCAGAGCTCAAACAGTCAGCCTCCCCAGAAGCTGGAATTACAGGGAGGAGCCACCACAGCCAGCCAGAAAATGCCTTTTTAAAAGAAAATTCTGATTTTCTCAAAGTAATCTTTCATACTTTCCATCCCACACAGGATATTTGGAATCATTCATTATATCCTGGTCCCAGAATTTCGGGTTCATGAAAAATTAGATTAGCTACAAAAACCTCTGGGGACCAGTGTGTGGTAGCTCACGCCTGTAATCCAAGTACTTTGGGAGACCAAGGTGGGTAGGTCACAAGGTCAGGAGTTCAAGACCAGCCTGACCAGGAGAAACCCCATCTCTACTAAAAATTCAAAATTAGTCGGGCATGGTGGCTCATGCCTATGATTCCAGCTACTTGGGATGCTGAGGCAGGAGAATCGCTTGCACTCTGGAGGCAGAGGTTGTGGTGAGCTGAGATCATGCTATTGGACTCCAGCCTGGGCAACATGAGCAAAACTCTGTCTCAAAAAATAAAGAAAAACCTCTGGGGATTTATATCAGGTTTGTAGGGACAGTGTCCTTTCAGAATGCTGAGTCTGGGGGTCATTAGAGAAAGAAATAGGAAAATAAAAGGACAAATGCTGTAAAGAAGAAGAGGGAGGATTGGGAAGGGCAAAAGAGTAACACCTAAGTGGCCCAGATGGTGGAAAGGCTGCAGGCTGTGTGAACAGCACCCTTGCCCTGACTGAAGGTGTGCACTCTCCCCACATGCAAAACCACATCCAAGGAAAGTCTCATCAGTGTCATTTAAAGAGGCAGGGACCGGACAGGCAGGGATGCTAGCAGGTAGAATTCTGGCAGGTAGGGACACACTACTGGCTCATGCTGTCTTTCCTTTCCTAAGCAAATTTGCATTTTAAAACATGTTCTCTGACCAGGTGCAGTGGGTCACACCTGTAATCCCAGCACTTTAGGAGTCCAAGGTGGAGGATCACTTGAGGTCAGGAGTTCAAGACCAGCCTGGCCGACCTGGTGAAACCTCATCTCTACTAAAAAAAATACAAACATGGGCTGGGCGTGGTGGCACGCACCTGTAACCCCAGCTACTCAGGAGGCTGAGGCACGAGAATCACTTGAACTCGGGAGGTGGAGGTTGTAGTGAGCTGAGACTGCGCCACTGCACTCCAGCTTGGGCAACAGAATGAGACTCTGTCTCAAAAACAAAAGCAAACAAACAAAAAAAAGTCTGACAGAAGAAGAGAAGACTTGAAGAAAGTTCCCTTATTTCTGGAAAACCTAAGCAGATTTGTGTAATGCAAATCTTCAGTCTATCCTCACTAAAGTGCAACACAGATTTTACTTCTGCTGAAGTGCAGTAGAGACCATGTGATGTGAAATATCATTGGCCAAAAGGTGTCAACTTTTTTTTTTCAGTCACCCAGACTGGAGTGAAGTGGCACAATCTTGGCTCACTGCAACTTCTGCCTCCTGGGTTCAAGCAATTCTCCTGCCTCAGCCTCCCGATTAGCTGGGGTTATAGGTGTGTGCCACCAGGCCTAGCTAATTTTTATATTTTTAGTAGAGACAGGGTTTCACCATGTTGTCCAGGCTGGTCTCAAACTCCTAACCTCAAGTGATCTGCCTTCCTCGGCCTCCCAAAGTGCTGGGATTAGGGGCGTGAGCTACCACGCCCAGCCAAGGCGTCAACTTCTTTAATAAAATAAGATTACTGAGGGCTAGCGTCTGATTACCAGACCTCAGAGTATGCCTAAAACTGTGGATCTGCTGCTCGCAGAACCTGTACTGCTTCTGTGTAGGTGAATTGTGAGGAGTTAATCTCCATCATTACTTGTAGGACATCCTCATGTTTCTGCACTCTATTTTTCCAGGAGAAAGAATAATACAAAAATTAGTCAATAATACAATGTAAATAAATTATAGATTATAAATACATTCCCTGAGAACTGTGCTGTAAAGTTGAAAAGAAAGAAAAAATATTCAAACTTAAGACATTTACATTTCTGATGAGAAAGTAGTTGATTGTGTAGAGGACAATTTTAAAACATGTTTTACATTCCTTGTGTACATTTCAGCATCCCAGCTCTGAGCAGGATTGTGGCATTTTTAAAGTTATGGCTTCCAGCTAAAAACTGGAATGTGCCTTCCTGTTCTTTCTTATTCTGAAAGAAGAAAGCCACAACTGGGAAGTTTCAGGGGCTCTAAAATCATGGGATTGCCCTATATGCTGACAGTATCCCCGACAGTCCAAAGGCCAGAGCTTTCCTGCTGTGGAGTCAGGTAAATTCATGCTATGGGAAAATTCAAAACAATGTACTGCCCCTCCACCATCTCTGCTCAGTGCGGCCTTATGGGACTTAGATGCATCTGGAAGGTGGAAATCTGGATTGGCTATCTTTTCAAAAAGATTTCCTTTTATTAAATTAATCATAACTCCAATTTTCATCTCAAAAATCTTACATACATAATTGGGCAAGAGACATTGGAAGTTAACAAGTTGATATGAAACCATGGAAAGAAAGTATAGAACAACCAAGGGAATTATTTTAAAGTGCTTTGTTGCTTTTGCTGTTTCAAGTAGCTTTAAAATATTGGAAAAATGAAAAAGAAATGAAAGTTTTTAGGCAATTATAACTTGAAATTCTGCAATAATAAACATTCCTAATTGCAGGTCTTGATCATATTATATGGATGCAGTCTCCACCCAGATTCCATATTACAGACAAAACATCTATGAGGAATATTTGGAAATATGATTTGGGGCAGGTATTTGACATATATCACCCTATTTCTTTCAAAACATGAATCGCACTCTAAATTCTTTTTCAATACATTCCACATTTATTAAACCCAAGACAGCACATTTTAGTTTAGGGGTGTGTGTGTGTGTGTGAGAGACAGAGAGATAAAGAGAGAGAGAGCGTCAGTCTCGCTCTGTTACCCAGGCTGGAGTGCAGTGGCATGATCTTGGCTCACTGCAACCTCCGCCTCCTGGGTTCAAGCGATTCTCCTACCTCAGTCTTCCAAGTAGCTGGGATTACAGATGTCTGCCACCACACCCACCTAATTTTTGTATTTTTAGTAGAGACGACGTTTCACCATGTTGGTCAGGTTGGTCTCCAACTCCTGACCTCAGGTGATCCACCTGCCTTGGCCTCCCAAAGTTCTGAGATTACAGGCATGACCCACTGCACCTGGTCCAGCACATTAAAAAAAAATTGACGAGATACTAATATCACCAAAATGTACTTTGAAAGGGAAATTATAGTAAATATTTGACTGGGTTAGTGGTTCACATCTGTAATCCCAGCACTTTGGGAGGCTGAGGCAGGAGGATCACTTGAGCCCAGGAGTTCAAGACCAGCCCAGGCAACATAGTGAGGCCCTGTCTCTAAAAATTTAAAATAAAATGAGAAATAAATAAATATTTGAAAATCATATATTTTATATTTTCAGCTGTAAAAACGTTGTAAATTAATTTTGGGAGAAATATTTTCATTTAGCATTTTGGTGAAGAAAACAGGATGCCATTTCCTGTAGGTTCTATTGAATTCTGGGTCATTATTAGATCTGTAAATAGAGCCTGCTCTGGCCCAGACTGTGAAATCAGTATCAATGGCTCTCTTTCCTCTCCCTCTCTCTCCCACACCCCAGGGCATCTTCTCTAGTCCTTTGCAACTATTTACTGGCCTCTACCTAGGGCTCCTCACTTAGGTCTTCATCCTTGGAAATTTCCTCTTATTTTTGCCCAAGCATATCGTGATTACTTACCATCCTTCCGAAGACAGCAGCTCCTACTGCACTTCTGGCCCGTGCTTTCAGAATAATACTTCAAGAACTGGGCTCCCATCTTCTGAGACTCCTCCAGATCGACTAGAAGACCTGGGAAGCGGCGGATCCAGCAGTCTCTGTAAAAAATGGTAGGTGAGCAGAGAGAGTCTGATGTCCATCCCATGCTCAGGAGCAATATTACGTTCACTACTACCACTGCCACATGCATTTTCCTGTATGAAGGAAGACTCGAAGATAAATCTGATTTCCAGACAGAAGCTGAACACAGGAGTTTAGGACAGTCTCTGGAATGTCAGGGGTGTTGCTAAGGGAGAGCTTCCTTGGAGCGTTTCTGTAGAGTCACTTTCTAGAAAAATGAGATGATTCTTTGACTGCATATTGATTTTTCTTTTCTTTCTTCCCAATCGAGCCCCAGGTGAACATTTGATTTGCTGGCGTTCTTTCTGAGCACTTTCCAGGCTATTTCAATGCTGTGTCCCTTAGCATCTTAAGACATTTTCTTCTTTTTTTGCTTTTCTTTCTCTGAATGTGAATAGTCACAGACACCTTTTGCTAAGTGAATATAAAGACAAGCGGAAACCTTAGTCAAGAATCTTTCTGAGGGAAACAATGAGTTAGTCACTTGACGTCAGATAAAGAAGTATCCATTTCATCATAAACAAGACATGATTTTGTGAGGGCACTTCTGTTTGATTTTTAAGAACTTGTGACTGCAGATTGTATTTTAAAAAATCATCTCTATTTCTTTAAATTTAAGTTCCGACATTCAGGTTCACTAAAAAAAAGTTTTTGCACTGGTTTGGGTTTTTGTTCTTAATTAAATAAAAACCTTGGTCAGGCACAGTGGCTCACACCTGTAATCTCAACACTTTGGGAGGCTGAGGTGAGAGATTGCTTGAGCCTGGAAGGTGGAGGTTGCAGTGAGCCGAGATGACACTACTGCACTCTAGCCTGGGTGACAGAGTGAGACCCTGTCTCAGAAAAACCAAACCAAACCAAACCAGTCCAAACAAACAAACAAACAAAAGATACTAGGAATGGTGGAATGTTTTTAAATTTCTAAATAGTAATAAAATCATTTCAATTGCAATCCTCAAACATTTAAAAAGGCAGTAAAAATGGACTCTCACTTTTATGAAAGCTGTGGGTTTCATATCCTGTGATGTTCAAGGTGACAAATTAGTTCAAAGCATAAAACTGTTGCTTTTTTGTATCCAGTTTTGTATGAAGCATTAGTGATAATCAGCTTTTGGCACAAAGCACTGTACTGTTTCTTTTTTAAAAAGAAACTTTCTAATCTGTGATCTCTATTTCTTTTATACCTTTTTATACAATGACTCATTCACCTTCTTGACACAAAAATCATTAGCATTCTTTGAACTTTCATCTCTTTGCCCATTTCCTAATAATAGTCTAATTATTACATATCTTTATTTTTAGAAGCATGTGATAATATTTGATAATGAAAAGGAAAGTGGTTAAGACTGAATAGCTTTAAATATGAAACACTTCATAAATATTAAACAATTCTTCTGAGCAAAAATTATATTATACACTAACTCCTAACTTTGCCTAAGCCACATAAAATACACAAAATGATAAATATTTTATTTTAATGAACTTCTTATAGAAAGCGAATTTCAGTTGCTTACCTGCAAAGACTCAGACGATTCCATCTGTTCTGAAGGGATAGGGAAGAGAGTTTTATAATGGCAAAGGAAGGGACAAATGAGTAACAACAAATTACTCTTGTTTTTTTATGAGATTCCATAGCTATTTCCCTTAGAAAATGCCCTCAAGACATAAACACAAAGGTCTGCTGTCTAATCTTATGATCATCTAGTCTTTGAGTCATATTAAATATAGGTTCTTTTGTGTGCCATATTTTCTTGCAGTTCTCATGTTCCCTTCAGGGATAATAGAACAATCCACAATTAACCCTTTTGCTCTCAGATTGTATTTAAATAAAGATCAAAGTTTCATTTTAAAGGATCTACAAATCTTGGCCAGGCAGGGTGGCTAATGCCTATAATCCCAGCGCTGTGGGAGGATGAGGCAGGAGGACTGCTTGAGCCTAGGAGTTCGAGACCAGTCTGGGCAACATAGGGAGACAGGGTCTCTACTAAATAAGTAAGTAAGTAAGTAAGTAAATAAATAAATAAAGCCCTGCAGGGGCTGGTGCTATTAAGAAAAAAAAGAAAAAGAGGATCTACAAGTCTCAATGTAAAAGCGTGCTTTAAAATTTTTGAACTTTTTTTGGTGATTGCACAAAGTCTGGAAATGGATAACTTCTTGGGGCCAAGTATTTTGGAAAGAAATGGTAGAAGCTGGAATGCAGAGGTAGAGGGAGGCATCCATAACAATCTCAAAACTTGTCCTTGGGTGCTGAAATTGCAGAAACCATGAAGCAATGCAACTGAATCAAAAGTTGGTATAAGGTCTTGTTATCAAATACCCAGAACCATTACACTGTTGCAATGTGGCAATACATTATATTTCTTTCCAATAGGGTGCTTTTGCTCTGCAGAGGGGTTCACAAATGTGATTTGTACTTTAAAAGTCTTATTTAAGACCCTTATTTTTACAAGAGTCACAGGTGATTTCTTAAGATGTCTGGAAAACACTGATACAGATAGATGACTGAAACAAACGGAAGTTTTACCTAAACAAGAATCCTCAACTTGAGTTAAATAGAGCCATTTTAAGACCATGTACTACTTTTGTTTCATTTATATCACCCCATAAGATTTGACGAATGGAAGATACTTCAGTTTTGCTTGTTAAAGAACAGCAATAGGCCAGGCATGGTGGCTCGCGCCTGTAATGCCAGCACTTTGGGAGGCTGAGGCAGGCAGATCACTAGAGTTTAGGAGTTTGAGACAAACCTGGGCAATATGGTGAAACCTCATCTCTACTAAAAATACAAAAATTAGCTGGGTATGGTGGTGCACAACTGTAATCTCAGCTACTCAGGAGGCTGAGGCAAAAGAATCACTTGAACCTGGGCAGTGGAGGTTGCAGTGAGCTGAGATTGTGCCACTGCGCTCCAGCCTAGGAGACACAGCAAGGCTCCGTCTCAAAAAAACAATACAAAACAGAAATAAAGTTGTTTTAGGAATATCAATGGACTAAAATAATCAAAGAGAAATAATTTTTAAATGGCAGTGAAGTAATAACTTTAATAAATTCAAGACATTTGGAAAACAGTCAATATTTCTTATTTATTTATTTGAGACTATCATTCAAGCTTGAGGGCAGGGGCACAATGTTGGCTCACTGCAACCTCTGCCTCCCAGGTTCAAGCTGTTCTCCCACCTCAGCCTTCCAGGTAGCTGGGATTACAGACATACAGCACCATGCCCGGCTAATTTTTTTTTTATTTTTAGTACAGATGGGGTTTCACCATTTTGCCAGGCTGTTCTTGAACTCCTGACCTCAAGTGATCTGCCCACCTTGGCCTCCCAAAGTGCTGGTATTACAAGTGTGAACCACCATGCCTGGTCACTTTTATTTTAACATTGCAAGTTGTTTTATTTACTTATGTTTCCATTTCATTTGCTGATAAAATTAATAAAAATTATTTTTTTTAAATGGAAGCTGAAAAATTTAAATGTTATTTTTTCTTTAAAAATGTTTTTGCTTCTATTAAATTGGTAGATGTTCACTTTAAGAATTCAAATCATATAGAAAAATACAAAAAGAGAAACTATTCAAGCACTTACCATCTTAATAAACATCTTTCTGGATATTGCTATTTAAAAAACATATAAACTGTCAAAATACAAAATTACAACAAATTTAGATAAAGATCTTAATTGGCTTTTATTTGTGGTTCCAAATAGGACAACACCTCATTCTATAAAATCCAATAAACTGAGCAGAGGAGGTGGCTTTGTTAATGGAAAGAGCTGAGGAAAGCAGAAACAGAAAACAAAAAGCAGATTGGTCATTTCAAAGTTACTTTCCTTATAAAGGTAAAGCAGAGGGCACTTCCTTATCATGCTGGTTAAAAGTGGCCTGTCTGGGGATTTGGTGATTATCTATCTCCTGAGCTTTTCAAAGATCAGATACAGATCTTGGTTCTGGCTTGGTGGCATCATGGAACATCAGCGTGAGTAACTCCATTTTGGTTTCACCTGCTGGGGCTAGTGCAGCTCAGCTGAAACCAGTGGTCTTGGCGGGCACTGTGGCTCACAATTATAATCCCAACACTTCCTGATGTCGAAGAGGGAGGATTGCTTTGAGCCAAGCAGTTTGAGATCAACCTGGGCAACATAGGGAGAGCCTGTCTTTACAAAATTAAAAAAAAAAGAAAATTAGCCAGGTTGAGGTGGGTCCCATGAAGTTGAGGCTGCAGTGAGCTGTGGTTGTGCCACTGCACTCCAACATGGGCAACAGAGCAAGACCCTGTATCAAATAAATAAGTAAATAAACCAATGGTCTATACATTTTATGTATTTTTAAATCTGTTTTTTATTTAAATTTTTTGTAGAGACAAGGTCTCACTATGTTGCCCAGGCTAGCCTCAAACTCCTGGCCTTGTGCAATCCTTCTGCCTTGGCCTCCCAAAATGCTGGGATTACAGGAATGAGCCACTGCACTGGCATCCTATAAATTTTATTTAACAGTCTATAGTTTTACATAAATGGAATCATACTGTTCTAAAATCAGTTAAAAAAAAAAAACTTAATGTAAAAGTTTATTTTTTGGCTGGGCATGGTGGCTCACACCTGTAATTCCAGCACTTTGGGAGGCTGAGGTGGAAGGATTACCTGAGGGTAGGAGTTTGAGACCAGCCTGGCCAACACAGTGAAAATCTGTTTCTACTGAAAACATAAAAATTAGCCAGTTGTGGTGGCGGGCACCTGTAATCCCAGCTACTCAGGAGGCTGAGGCAGGAGAATCATTTGAACCCAGGAGGCTGAGGTTGCAGTGAGCCGAGGAACTGAGATCACATCACTGCACTCCAGTCTGGGTGACAGAGTGAGACTCTTGTCTTAAAAAAAAAAAAAAAAGTATATTTTCAGTGGTCCTAAAGAAAGATCTACACAAAAACTTCTAATGGCCCTTTGGTATTTCATTCTACCATACCAAAATTTACTCTGCACTTCTGCTTCCTCAGCTGTAAAATAGTAGTGTAATCCATGTAAAGCACTTACGACAGTGCCTGGCACATACTAAACACTCAACACATATTAGCTGCTATTATTATAGATTATGTTGTTTTCCAATTTTTTTATTATTAAAAAGCAATACTGTGATAAGCATCTTGTACTAAGATTTTTTTTCTATTTGTTATTTTAAAAGGGGTATTTTCCATAAATTCTTTTTAAAAATTACCTACTTCAGCTGGGTGTGGTGGCTCATGCCTGTAATCCCAGCACTTTGGGAAGGTGAGGAGGGAGCATCATTTGCACCCAGGAGTTCAAGACCAGCCTGGGCAACATAGCAAAACCCCGTCCCTACAAAAAATATAAGAACTAACTGGGCACAGTTGCACATGTCTGTAATCCCAGTTACTTGTGAGGCGGAGGTGAAAGGAGCACTTGAACCTGGGAGGCTGAGGCTTCAGTGAGCTGTAATAGTGCCACAGCACTCCAGCATGTAGTCCAAGCCTCTTTGATACAAGGGGCACCTCCCAGCAAAATTTCCCCAGCCTTATGCTTAATATTGGATGTTACATTCTACCATCCTGAAGAAGCAGCTAAATCCATGATCACTCACTCCCCCTCCTGCTCCAAAG